CCTCCGGAGCTATTATATGGAAGTACCTCTGGGTCCTCCAGGGCTATTCTATTGGGGGTACCCCTGGGCCCTCAAGGGCTATTATATGGAGGTACCCATAGGCCCTCCAGGGCTATCCTATGGGGGTACCCCTGGGCCCTCAAGGAATATTATATTGAGGAAGCCACAGGTCCTCAAGGGCTATTGTATTGTGGTACCCATAGGTCCACAAGGGCTATAAGGCTAAAAGGGAGCAGGAGATAAGGATATAAGGATATAAGAGTAAAAGGGATAAGAGGCTAAGGGTACATGAGCTTAAGGGATAAGGGTATATAGTATAAATGGATAAGACTGGGAAGGAAATAAGGGATAAGGAAATAACGGAGTAAGGCTATAAGAAGTACTACACCAAGAGTATGAGTCTACAAGGGTATCAGGCTGTACGATCTCTATATATATGATGCGAACTGGGTTTTTGTCTATTTCCCAAACAAGGCTAAAGGACAGAAGTGAAACTTCACAGAAAAAAAAGCATCGGTGCAGTATGCACGGGCTCTCGCTAGTTTACTATAACGAGTTGATATTTAATGAAGGTATCTTCTATAAAGATTTTATTTTTTTGTTGATGGATAAATATTAATGACACACCCACACATCCTTGACATTCAGACATCATCAACGCTATGTCAGGTAGTTAACTACTAAAGCAGAAAAAGCAAGTCTTTCAAAAAATAGTTGCAAAAATTTGATTGATAATCGACATCTATGTATCAACAATCAGTTAAAGTATATCGAGCGTTGACTGTCTCTGATAAATAAAATATTTGAACTGTTTTTTAATGTTTTCTTCAAAAGTTTCTTCAGTGAAGGTTTATCATAGGGCTGGCCACTCATTAATAGGCTTTTTTCTAGTGACTACAAGAAACGTCAAACAAAGTCTTATTATCAAATCTGAGATAACTCTGTTTGGTGTATAGAATGTACGATTGAATTATTGTCTTACAAAATAATAAAGTTGGTTAAACCCATCACTGCACTCATACTATATGTGTAAAATCTATGACAATTAGCATTGCACTGATACTTATATATCATATGTTTCAAATCTAGAGCAATTCATTGTATATAGGATACATTTGAATAGAAATATTACAGAATATTTAAATTACAATTAGCTTATAATATAATTTCAGTGTCGTTTAAAAAAACATTGTTGATTTAATTACGCATGACAATATTTTTCTATGTTTATTTCTATTGTTGAATAAATATTTCGAATAAAACACGACATTTATATATTGTTTTTTAGATGATCAACATCAACTATACGAAATTTGAACATCTTCCAAATGAATTATTATTTGGTGTTTTTGAGTATATTGATATTCGAGATTTATTTTATGGTTTCTGGGGATTGAATAAACGCATAAATCAATTGCTTCGATCTCTTCAAAATCTTTCATTTAATCTTGAACAATATGAACCAGCATTGATATCATTATTTGCTAATCAAATTAATCAATTAATTGTCAATACATGGCAAGATATAGATTTAAATCAATTTCCTTTTTTACAATCACTTATTCTACATCAGATAACAGGAAATCAATTACGACAAATTCGATCAGAATATATGCCTTATCTTGTTTATCTTTCTACGTCATCAATACCTGAATTTTCTCTAATGCCTCAATTAGCTCAACGTATATTTTCTAATGAAATGCCTACTATTCGATATGTTGATCTTGGTCATGTTCATGTACCATATTTACGTATGTGGTCTCAATCACCATCACTTCATTCAGTATCTATACATAGTACAAATCCAACTATTGTTCCATTTATTCTTATTTCATGTCCTAATCTTGTTTATCTTCGTGTTACTTTTTTAATTAATACTATTCCAATATTTCATAATTCACCATCGATTCAAAATCATCCATTAAAACATTTTGTTCTTTCCGATCCGTACCATAAATTATCCTTTAGTCATATTTATACTCTTTTAGCATTTATTCCAAATGTACGAAGAATTCAATTAAATTTTTTATGTAAAGTTCCATTTATTCATTTTCTTCAAAGTTTACTAAGTCGTTTACGATATTTAAATCAATTTGATTGTAATATTGATGATGTATCAACGGATAAAGTAACAACTATTGAAACGATTCAACAAACTCATCCATGTTTTTATCGAATTCAATGTTCAACAAGTGATTTTAACTTTCGAACATTTACTACAGAGTCCAATAAATAATTTCTTATTTTTAAAGACAAAATAAAAGAAGAAATGAATAGATTCTCAAAGAGTCATATTTGTCTATTTCAATTGGGATTATTGTTAAATGAAACTCTGATTGAGATATTCGAGGTGTGCTTGAAGAATTTTATAATATTATGGGTGTGGATATCGATGAAGGGAAGACATATTTCTAGAATAATTTGGGCAAAAAAATAGAATGTTTATGATAGAAAGAAGGGTGTGGGTACGAGTGTAGATGTGAAGAGAACTCTGATACCCATATTCACCCATCCTGATCTATGTGTTGAAAGGTGCTCAAGAAGAAAGAGAGTGGTAGAGAACGATTCAGCATTCGTGTCACACCTCACTTCCATGTTTTTCAGCTTTAGTTTTCTTTTTATTGCGTTCGACTTTTCTATCAATGGTACATATAACTCATCGAAATCTACACCAAACAATTGTTCTTTCGTGAACCAGAATTAATCGTCAATTAATCATACATGCTTTCATTCAGATCCTACTGACTTTGATTACAAACACAGACGAGAGATTTTTAGATCACTGATCAGCAGAAAAGGAACAAGATCTCAAGTTTTCGTCTATAATTGATCTGATCAAAAATATTTAGATATCTCTTCAGCCCATCTATATGTTATACTTCTGTTTGTTTCTTGATGTTTCTCAAAAATCATCATTGCCATCAGTATGCAAGAAATCCGTGTGTTCCTTTTTTGGGTCTACGAATGATGCGCACGAAATAAAAAGTTCATGTTTATCCTCCAAAAGATAATACAGATATCGAGAAGTAACAAGAACAATAAAATTTTTATTTTATTTTCAAAATCATAAATATAACAATTAAATGAGTAAACAAAGCATGAAAAA